CTGGTGGCGGGGTGGGGTCGCCCGGCCCCTGGGGCCCAGCAGGGGTTTCATGGGAGGGGGCGGGGCCCCCAGTAAGCGTTTCTCGGCCGCAGCCGTTTCAGTCCTTTGGCGCGGTTAGGATTTGGGGTAGGAGGGAATTCCAAGTAGGGGTTCACCTCTCCGATTTCTGAGTGAGGAGGTAAGCTATTTGCAACAGGAGAAAAAGAGAGACATGGGGGGGACGTCACTGAGGAACTAAGTGCAGGTTCCAGGACTACTGGGAATGAGGTGGGGAGTGGCAATCCAGCCGCAGAACGCGACTCTCAGATATAGGGGAAGTTGGGCGAGGCGAACCGGAGGCACTGGACGCCTTTGGAGTTTCTGTGCCCAATGGCTGGTGCCAGGGAGCCCGCCCTTCTATTGCCTCTGGAAGCCCTGGCTCTGCCCTCCCTGGGCCACGTTCCCGCCCCCCGCCCCCTTTCCTTGGCTATCCCCCTTCTTCCCCAAAGCAGCCCCCTCTCGATTTCACTTGTGGCATTATCGCCTGGCCCCTACCACAGCCTGCACGACCCGGACGGCTGGAGTAGGAAGGGAAAACCCCAGCCTGGACCCCACCAGCTCGGAGCCCCTCCGGACCAGAATCTGTCCGGCGGGGCTGAGAAGAAAACCCGGAGCAGTGATCAGCCTCGGGACCCAAGGGGGTCAGGGACGATAGGAAAACCCGGAGCGGATTACTAGAGCCAGAGCGCCCCATGGCTGCCGCTACCTCCTCCTTCCTATAGCCCCCCTAATTCTCCAGTGAGATAATGTCTGGGGTGGGGGGCTGTTTGGTTTGGCCTGAGCCCTCAGGGGCGCCTCACACTTTCCGCCCCTGGCTGGGGCGCAGGGCAGCGGCCCCGAGGCTGAGTCACGGCCCGGCGGGGAGAGGGAGAGAGGGAGAAAGAGGGAGGGAGGGACCTGGACTCCGCCCCTCCTGCGCGGGGATCCCGGGTCAGCCCGGGTGAGGGCCAGGGCCCCCTGGCGCCGCCCATTGTGGTCCAACAGGTTGAGCTGGTGTCCCACGGAGCCACCTGCTGAAAAGGGAGGGAGGCCCCCTACGGAGGGGGGTGGGAAGGGAAAGCGAGTCCGACCCGGTTCGGCCTGGCTTGTTGCGCGGGAGCCAAACCTGGCCCTAGGTAGCCAGATTTGATTCCGTTTGACACTAGTGGGAGGGGCCCTTTGGGGTACGCATCTCCGCAGGCTCAGTCGGAAACATCCCTCACCCGCTACCTTTTTTAGTTGGGGGGGACTCCTAAGTATCCCGGTCCTCCCCAAAACCTACATATACCATACATCCCAAAACATCCAGGCACCCCTCGCCACCTGGGTCTCTGAAGAAATCCAAGTCAAGACAACCCTCCTCCGTGGAGACTCAGTTTCTCCACTTAGGGAACCCGCGGGATGGAGGCGGGCAGTAAAAGTGTGAACGCGCCCCCCCTCCCTCTTCGCAGACTGGGCCCCTCCCCTCCGACAATGCCAAGGCCGCAGCGGGCAGTGGCGACAGCACAGAAGCTGCTTGCCCGAGGCGCCCTTCCCTCCCCGCGGGGCACCGTCACGCGTGGGGAGGGACGCAGGGCGCCCGCAGGCTCACCTCCCCGGCTCCCTCCGAGAGGGGGTGGGGCCTAGGGGCCGGAGCTGAAGGCCTGGTGGCTCCCCCTCCCCCTCCCTTCTGGGGCCCTGACCTGATTTTAGCCCCTCACGGGACCCCCTCCCTCAAGACCCTAAGTCCCCAATTCACCCTCACCCAGCCTATCCCTAACCTCTCATACCCTTCCCTTCTGAGGTCCTGACCCTACAGAAGCCCCTCTTTGAGGAGAGGGAGCCCCTGTAGGGGGTGCTCGGTTGCCTGGCCGCTGCGGACACTGCCCCCTCCCCCCTCCTCTCCAGGTTCCAGGCCAGCCCCTCGGCTCCGCCCCCTCCGTGGACGAACTCACTGCGAGACCCACTGGAGATGAGCGGGTATTCAGGCCAATGGGCGGACAGGGCGGTGGCGTGCAGGGGGCGGGCAGAGCAGCGGCAGAGGGCTGGATGGGGGTCGGGGGCGGAGTTTCAGTTAAGGTGGACTGAAAGAGATAGGGGTATGAGCAAGTGGGGGGAGAGAGGGACCGCGGCAGGTGAAGGGAGACAGAGAGAAGGAAAGAAGGAGGGAAAGGAGGAGGGTGGAAAAGACTAGGAGAGCTAAGTAAGAGTTTGGAGGAAGGGGGCAAAAAAGGAGGGAAGGGACCCATCTGCGCCCTGCAGAGGCTGGCTGGACGAAGGGGTTGAAGTTTATGTCCTTATTGGGCGGAGGGAGGGGGGCCTGGGGGGGCGGGTGAAAAACCAGGAAGTGACAGAGGGTGTTGCTAAGTGTTGGGGGGGGGAGTTTGGGGGGTGGCAGGGGCGGGGGGGAGGGAGGGGAGGGATGGGGGGAAAGCAAGCAGGAGGACAGGTGAGACAGCAGGACAGGTGAGGCGGGCCCTGAGGGGGGGGCGGGTGGGAGCCAGGTGAATGTACGGCTCTTGGCGGCCGAGGGGGGGCGGGCGGCAGGAGGAGGCAGAGGGCGGCGGAGGAGGAGCCCCCCAGCAGCGAGCAGCGAGCAACTGACCGCGGCCTTCTGACCAGGACCGGAGCAGGGCCCCAAGCCCCCGGGCCTGGTGGGGGACGCGCTTCTTCCCACACCCTGAGACTCAGCAGCTCCAGCCAGCGGACCCGACGGCTGAGAGGTGAGTGTACCCCACTTTTGTCCCCTAGCTCGGGGTTCACTAGACTCGAGACTACTGCAGTGTCCTTCGTCCGTCCTGAAAGTGGGACCCCCACACGCTTGCAGATCAGATTCCCACCACTCCCCTTCCCTGTGCTTTCCCAACACCCGGGTCTCTGGAATTGGTTTTAACTGGGAGGAAAGACAGAGAAGGAACTGCGGATGCCCCCCAAACCTGGGCGGAGGGTCCCCAGAAACTTTCTCTGCACTTCTCCTGGGATCAGACAGACAGGCGGCTCCAGGATGGAGAGGGGTTGAGGCGGCGCTGAGCGTTCCCCCAGTCCCCTTCGTGACTTTCGGGGGAGACCCCAGACCGGACCGAGTTGAGGGAATGGAAACGCTGACGGACTCTAACTAGGACAACGCGCAACCCCCCCCCCCCGCCACCCCGCGCCCCCTGGCGCGGTGGGTTGGCCCCAGGCCAGTTGCATGGGGGTTGGGGGGGCGCAGGAGGAGCCGCGGCTTGGGGGAAAGTTACCGGCTGGACTATTCGGTTTCTGGCGCTTCCAGAGCCGCGCTCTCTCCAGCCGTGGTGGGGCTCAGCAACAACCTCCGAGCGACAGAGAGCGACCCCTCTCTCCCCTGCCTCTCAATTCCACTCCTTTCCTTCAGGCTCCAGTCCCGCCGCTACCTTTCCCAAGCCAGCTCATGTCCCCAGAACCCGAGAGCGAGGGTGGGTGACTAGGAAGAATTCTCCTACCTACCACCCGTCCCCCCACAGGCGCCGGCGCACCTGCCCCAGCCCTAAGTGGGGGTCGCTACTGTGTTATAGAATCTACAGAGTGCGCCTGGCAGAAGGCTGCCATTCAAAGGGGTGGGGGGCGCTGCTTTCAATTTCTAGCTTTCTCTCCCTCCTCCCACCCCATCCCAAGTAAGAGAGCGACGTGTCCCGGCCAGAGCGAGGTGGGGGTGGGAGTGGGGGGGCGGCGTGGGCAGCGGGTTGTGCCCGGACACGTGCCTGCCCAGGCGCCCCGGCCCTGCTGGTGTTTAGAGAGAGGGCGGGTCCCTGCCCCCCGCCCCGCACAACCCCCACGTATCAAAGGGCGGCTGAGACGTGGTGAGACCTCGGGGCGCCCTGGGGGCCGGGGGGGGGGCAGGGAGCTTGGGTCCGGAGCAGGGGAGGGGCAGAGGCGCCGGTGCTAGCTGACCCACAGGAAACGAGCGCTGCTGACCTAGTTTGGGACACCGGAAGTGGGTGCTGGGGAGAGGGGGAGACCGGCAGGCTGTCCTGGCTTCCGGGCCAGGTGGAGGGTGTTCTTGAATTGACCCCCCGCCCGAATGCCTTGGAGACCCCTAGCTGCAGCTGAGAATGGGAATGAGTCAGCGCAGCTATTCCCCCTTCCCCCAACTTATTCCTGGAGGAGGGAGACCGCTTATCAGGGGCGAAGGAACCAGATTGGGCTGTGAGGGGTTAAACCAGGATGGGAGCTGTCTGTTCCCTAAGGGAGTATGTGTGAGTGGGGTTTGAGGCCTGGAGGATTATGGGGTTGTCTCCTGCTGCCCCACACACACCAACTGGTTTGGTCACCCCTGTACCCGCCTGGCACTGCTGAGAGAGCTGGCATGCAGTGGGCATCAGGTTGGGGAGGAGAGAGTGGGCATAAGGAGTGTTGTGCTGCGCTAGAGAGGGACATATTTGTGACTATGTTTGGGTGGTAGTGTTCCTCCTTAGTGGTAACTGGGGAGAAGGGCAGGGGGCTCCCCCTGGAGCAGCTGATGAAACAAGGAGAAATCTCTGTCAGTGCCTCTGTCCCGGGCCCCCGGGACCCCAGCTCCCCCAGCGTGCCTCTGTTACATGGTTGCTGTGGGCACAACACAACCTGCTGGCACCCCCAGACACTGTTCCTTCCCTTGGGTACCACACACCCCCATACTTGGCACAGGGGTCAAAAAGGGGTTAATACCACCAGAATGGGGCTCTGGGGAAGAAAGAAAGCAGTGCCCACTAGGCTCAGGTGTCAAGGAGACAGGCCTGCTCTAATGGGACTCTCATCACTACTCAGCCTGATGTAGACCCCAGCATCTGGAAGACAGGTGCTGTCCCCTTCTCCTTCCCCATGGTGCCCCCTGGCACCCAGGGCCCCCAGCTCCTCCTTGGCCTAGTGCCTGCCCAGGGAGGGTGCGGCGGGCGGGCAGCGGGGGCTGGGCTAACAATGCACCATCAGGCCCTTTGTGTGCCTGCACTTGGCACCCTGGGGAAGGGTGGGGGAGGGGGCCCAGCAGGCATGGGGGGCGGAGCGCTCTGGGGTGGGGACAGTGAAGGCTGGGGGAGAGAAGCAGAGAATGAAAGCAGGTGGGGAGGAAAGGGAAGTAGGTCAGATAGGGTGCCAGCCCCCCATTCCCAGCCAAGGCTGAGAGAACCAACCCCTGATCCTATGGCATCATACTGAGGGACAGCCTAGGACTGGGCATTTGGGGTCAGAAGTCACTGCTCAGGGGACTGCTCAGGTGGAGGAGGTTTGGCCTGGTACTGCACCCTTCTTAATGCCTGAGAGACCCAGTTCTCCTGGCCCAAGACCAAGGCCCCAAGATGAGTAGTGAATGGGCTCCAGGCAGGTCACTGCCCTCTGACAGAAGCCTCTGGGCCTGCTGCGGGGCTTCCTGCCTCTGGCCCGCTTGGCTCCCTGACCTTCCCGAGAGTTAAGACTGCCTTGACACCAGGCCTTAGGGCCTATGCCTGTTTTGGCCTAGGGCTGGAGAGAAGACTGGGGGAGGAAGGTGGGGACAGGCAGATGGATAGGACCCTGGCATGGGGTGTGCCCGCCCTGGCCTCTTCCCCCTCCTTGTGCTGAGTAAACTCGTGAGTAAACTTGACGTTTTGCCCGGACAGTTTGAAGTTGCCTCGCTGCCCCCTCCCCCCCCACTCTTGCCAACACATAAGCGGCCAGGCGCCAAGGCGAGCCTGGGGGACTGGGAGGAAGGGGGTAAAGCTGCTGTCATCCACCATCAAGTGTTTGGTGGGTTGGGATAAGAAAGACCCCCACACCCAGCCAGGCCCAGGTCTTGGCAAGAGTCCTGGCTGGGGCCTGCCAGCATCTGTCCCAGAGCCTTGGGGAGCCCAGGAAAAGTAGCCTCAATGCAGATCTTCTGCCCACTTCTGACCTCTACCCCTACCAGGGAAAGGCACCCAGCTACCATCTGGCCCCCTGAGTTGCTATCTTTAATGTTCACTGGCTGACTGGCACAGGGAAAAAGCTACTTTAACAAATTCTCCAGGGAGACCAGAGAGGGCTGCCCTTTTCATCCTGTCCCACAGCCTGGGATGGACATCTTAGCCCTGTCTTCCCTGCGGCCTCCAGCTGCCATGGCTTCTGCTCTGGAGGACAGCAAGGGTCTCATTTGCCAGCACTTGCCTTGACCACACCTGGGCCTAACCCCACATGTACCTCTACCGTATTTACCGTCGGGCCTAGCCCTGATCTCCCCAAACCCCTTCCTTTGCCTGTTATCCTCCCCAGAACCAGGTCAACCTTCAGAGCTTCCCAGTCAGCAGATAACCTGTGCAGATTCAGGGGTTGAGGGTTCCCAGGCAAAAGAGGGCTGATGGCAGGCAAATGAAGCAGTGATTCCCCCATAAATATATCAATATGCTATCTTTTGACATCACTGATTTCTCTTATTCCTCCCAGGCCAGCAGAATGACATGGGGAAATGCCTTCCCAGTCCCTGACAGGCCTCGGAGTGGGGCTCCCCCAGGCCCTTACTTTCGACCTCATGTCTCTGGCTTCAGTTTCCTTCCTGTTTCCACCGTCCCCCCAACTCCTCCCCACCCATATGCCCCTTTCAACAGACATCCTCTCCTCCTTCCTTCCTCCTTTCCTCCCCCTTTGCCTGGGAGCAGGGGTCCTCTTTCCTCCACCATGGCCATCCTAGCCTTTTACCTCTTCTTAAACCTAGCCCCCTTGGAGATCCATGACCAAGTCATCTGTCCTTCCCATCCATCAGCAAGGCTCTGGGGAAGAGAACCCAGAGCTTCTCAAGGGGACTACAACTCCCAAGGTACATACAAAGCAATTGTGGTGCACACTGGGAGTTGTAGTCCTTGAGCTCTCAATTTGGCTGAGTCTGAAAGTGACTCTAGATGAGGGTAAAAGCCAGAACTGGGATGGGTTGGAATGTGGGTACCCTCTGCATCCCCCCACTTTATTCTTGCTGTCACATTGCCATGGGATGCCATGTACCCATGACTGACATCCATCTCCCTTGCTGAGACATGCTACCTGTCCTCACCTTAGTGCCCCACCCAAAAGATGCCCACGCCCTGCCCTGCTGCCCCTGGCAGGGGTGAAATAGAGGGGCCCCATGAACTCCCTCCCTGCCCCCTGCCCTCTAGGCTGGTTCCCTCCCTTTATGGGGATCAAAGGGCAGAGAGCAGCCCCACCCCACTCCCTCGCAGGCTGCAGGCACTAGGGCTCTCAGGAATTGCAGGGACTTTGGTGCCCAAGCATTTGCTTGGGCAGGGGGAATGCTGGGAGGTTGGCGCCTGGTGGTAGGGAGAGACATTGGCCCCCACCCTGGGGTGTGGAGCCTTCGTTAACTGCTCGAGGGGCTGTCCATTGCCTCCTAGGTTCTCTCTGTGTAGGCCCTGACCAATGTGCTACCTCTTGAGGATATGGCTTGAGAACAGGGTCTTAGGCTTTATCTGTAGGGCCTAGGGACCTGGGCCCGCCTGGCTGGCACCAAGGCATGGGGGTGACCCTCCCCCACCTCAGGCCCACAGTTGGCATGGGGCGCTGGGAGCAGGGGGGTAGGAGGGAGAGGAGGGCAGGACTGCCAGCATCCTGGTGGGTAGGTGCCAACCGGGCCGGGAGCTGGTGAGGGGCAGCAGGCCAGCGGCATTGAGCCAGCAGCTGTTGGGGGAAAGGGGAGGGGATACTTTAGGGGGCATTTCTGTGGTACCCCCAAGCCTAGCAGGACTTGAGGTAGCCTAATGTCTGGGGGACACTAGGGTACCCCTCAATCCAGGAATAAGGGACCCCAGGAGTTGTTTAAGTGAAACTTGGTGGCCCACCCATGTCTGGGCTCAGAGCCCTCCTGAGTTGCCCCTCAGGCCCAGGCGGGTCCCACCCAACCGGCCAGGGTGGCAGCAGCTTGCGCAAGGGGTGGGGCTAGGCGCTTCCCAGCAGATGCCCCCTCCCGGCTCCTTCCTCTTTCGGTGCCCACAGCTCCCCCAATCTGTCTATCCCCCTCAGGCCAGCTCTGTTCCCCCGATCCCCCGGCTATTGGGGGCTGGCACAAGTGCTGCCCCCTGGCCTGGTTGGCAGGGGTTGGTGCCCGGGCGAGGAACTGTGGTATGTGAGTGGGTTTGGGGTGAGGCTATGGGGAGGGCGGGGTGCCGCCTTGCCCAGCCCCTGAGGGCCCCAGCCCAGTACAGGGTAGGGAGAATTCGGCCAGCTCCCCAGGGGGGCTGAGGGGCCTGCTGGGGTCTGGAGGGCCTCCTTGTGGTCCCCATCCCACATACTCTGAGGGGCTGGGACCCAGGCACCTGTCACCCCTGGCACTGACTGTCCAGGGTTCCCCTCCTCCCTCTTCTGGCCACTGCCACCTCCGTCCCCTCCCCTCCCTTCTTCCTTCTCCTGGCCTCACCTCCAGTGGCCTCTCCCATTGCTCCTCCTCATCTCTGTCCTCCTGGACTGTCCCAGCTCCTACCTTTCCTACCCTCACCTTTTCCTCTTTTAGGACTGAGTAAGGACAGGAGCGGGTGGGTTCTGGGGCTTCAGGCACCACAGGCAGAGACTCTAGGCCCTCTCCCACGCTGCCAGCCCTCCGGTAACCCCTCCCTCCAAGCTGGGGGGAGGGGGGACAGCACCCAGAGGGTTAAGGCTGTAGGGGGGAGGGGCTGGGCCAGGTCGTGGGCGGCCCCTTTGAAGGAGGGAGCTGGAGCGGGGAACAGCCACCCAACCTCCCCCCCAGCCTGGCCCTCCCCCACCTGTCCCAACCTGCTGCCCCCAGGGGTCAGGAGGAGTTGCCGCCAGGCCCCTCAGCCTTCAGGTGAGTAGGCCCTGCTCTGGCTTGGGAGATCAGGCCCCAGGGGGGCTTGGAGGCCTAGAATTAGCCAAGGGTCAGAGGACTAAAAAACAGGCCAGGAAGAGGGTGCCCAGACTTCACAGGAGAGTTTAGGGAACTGAGGGCTTGAGGAACAGGAATGTGGGGAGGCCTCAGTGTCTGAGGGGACCCGAGCGGGTCAGAAGAGGGGCCTATAGGAGCTGAGTGATTGCCGGGCCAGGCCAGGAGGCTGGACAGCCTGGCAGAGAGCCGGGCTCCGGAGATCGGGCTGGGGTGTCCTCTGGGGCTGGGGGGCTCAGGTTTCTGCCGGCAGCTTGGCGGGTGTGGGGTTACCAGCCAGCTCGGTTACCCAGCCGGGGACACTAGGCTGGGGGGAGGGGGTGGGCACAGGGCAGACCCTGGCACATTGTGCGGTCTCCTCAGGCCCTAAGGGGAGCTGGCATTGCCCAGGCAGACCCTGCTGGGGACGCTGATGGCCAGAGTCTGTTCAAGTGGACAACTGCCTGGTCCAGGGTGGGCATCCTCTGGGGAAAGTCCAGCAGCTCCAGGGCTGGAAACTCTGACAGGCAGAGAGGCACAGGTTGTCCCCCCACCCCCACCCCACATCCGCTCTCGCTGCAAATCCCCCTCCACCACTCATTCTCCCCAACTGGCTCCCAAATTGTGGTCTCCGGCTTCATCCAGAAGTGGGGTGTGGGTGCCCTAAACTCGACCATCCTTTGGCAAGACCAGGCCTTGGAGGGCAGGTCTGGGCCCTGATTTAATTCCTCTGCCTCTCTTCACCCCTCACTTGCCTGGGGAGAAGGGAAGGGATGCTCGGAGCAGGGGGCCAATGGAGAAAGTGCAGAGGTTTGAGCAAGAGAGAACCAAGGGGAAGAGAAAGGAGAGGCGGGGACAGCTCCTGGGAGGAGGCCGAGGGACACTGATGTGGTGGAGGGGGTGCGGAGCTCCAGGAGGCCTGAAGGAAGGAAGCAAAGGGTGAACTTGCGGAGGGAAAACAAGGGGCAGAGAAGGCAATGAGTGGACAGAAAGAGGAGGCCGAGAGAGGGGCAAGAGCGAGGGCTTGGCAGGGGATATCCAAAGGTGGAGGGCGAAGGCTGGGAGAGTTGTCCTCATTCCTTCCTCCGCCATCTTTTATCTCCCTCCTATTTCCCTTGATGGGGACTAAGGGGCTGTGGGCGATGGCTGGTGTCATGGAAAGAAAATGTAGGGAAGCATTAAGGGTCTCCCTCATTTCAGGAGCCCCAGAACCAGGATTGGGGGATTTGGAGCTGGGGAGAGACTTAACCCCCACAGCACCGGGAAGCAGCCAACTCCCCTCGCCTCCTTCCCCCTTCGTGGCTTGCGGTCTCTCTTCCCCGCCTCGGCCCCCAGGAAGTGTGAGTGCTGGGGTGGTGAGGTTAGGAGGGGGGAAGCGTCATATGGGGGATGGGGAAGGCATGCACAGCTTGGAGGGGCTGGGGTGGGGAGAGATGGGCTCCATAAATGCCAGGGCATCCCTGGTCAGAGAACCTCTTCTTTGAAGCCCTTCTAGTCCTCAAGTGAGAAGAGGTTCAGCCCCATTGCTTTCCCTCCCCAACTGGGCGATCCAGGTGGCTTCAGCCCCTGGGCCCCGGAGGCCCTGGGAAGCGCTGGGAGAAGCTGGAGAACAAGGATTCCTGGGTCCCTTAGGACTTTGGACTGGCTGTCCAATCTCCCCACCCCCCTGGTCCAGACGCAGGCCAAAGCCCTGGCTTCGTGCAAACTTAGCTCCAAAAAAACAGGAAGAGAACCTGAGGCTGGAGTTGGGGTGGGGGTTGGAGGGAGAAAGGAGACAGAAGTAAGGGGGAGGGGTGGCCAGCCAAGCCACCAGGAGCGTTGGGAAGAGCCTCAGGTCTCTCCATCATCCCCGGCAGGAAGATGGTACAACCTGGTCCTCATCCTCCCTCACCCCATGCTGCTGCTCCTGGAGAAGCCTGGCCAGGCCTCTCTCAGGCTCCCTGGCAGAGCCTAGAGGTAGGGGCCTTGGAACCTGGGGTGGGGGGGCCCTGTGCTTGTGTCTCAGGCCCATATCTATTTTCTCCAACGCTAATCCTGGTTCTGCCTGCTGCCCCCCACACTAAGCCTCACTCCCCTAATCCCCAGGGTGGGGGGAAGGGGGCCCAGCTTTACTCAGCTGCCCTGTTCAGGGCCTCCTATCCTTGCCCTTCAGCTGGCTCAAGCCAGCAGTGTTGACCCTGGTGCCCCCCAGCCCTGCACTGGACACTGCCTGAGGTCAGCACCTGGAGAGAGTTCTCGTCTCCCTTTTTCTTTCTAAGACCAGGCCAGCGGCCTCTACCTTTTGGTTTCTTGGTGTTGGACATACCCTGCCAGGTGCCCTTGAGCACTGAAGGGTAGGTGATAGGCACTCCCACCTTTGCCCCCTCCCACCTTTCTCACCCTGAAGTCTTCCCCCAACCAAAGATGGGGCAGGCTTGACTCAGGGCCCAGTTTCAAGAGAGCTGCCCACCGGCTTGGCCGGTCTAGCAGGCCTGACAGTGAGGGGAGCCTGGGGGGATGGCGGGAAAGAGGGGAGTGATGGGGCGGGGCCCCCAGTTCTTCCCCCTACCAGGCAAACAGACCAAACAGACCTTGCCCGGTTCCCTGGCACAGCTGCACCCCCAACCACCACACACGCCCATGCCCACAAGGTCTTAGCAAGAGGGGGCATGCCAGACTGGGTGGGGATGGGCCGCCTTCATGGGGCGTCAGGGCACTGGGGCCTCTGGGATGCAGAGGTGGGAAAGGTGCCCAAGGTGTGGTGGGCACCCTGGCACCAGTGCCCTACCCTGGCAGAAAGAAGGAGGAGGACTTTGCCCCACCCATCCCTCCCAGATGATGGCTTTAGGAGGGCCCCCTTGGCCTGGTTGGCACCACCATAGTTCCAGGTGGCACCTATATTGACATGGGTGCTAGAGCCCTGGGTAAGGGTTGGGGGAGTTTCCCAGAAGCTAGAGAACCTTATGAACACCCTCTCCTTCCCACGCATGTCCTCTGCCTCTCCCCCTCTCTCGTTGCTACCTCTTGGCCATGGGCATTGGATTTGGGCCTAAGGAGTTAAACACCCACCCTTGCCCAATCCCTGTGTGAGTTGCGTGGTGAACGAGCCTGAGCCTGTGACCTGACAGTGAGGTCAGCCAATCAGCGCCCCCACCACACCAAGTTGCCACGGAGACCGGCCCTGGGGTAGGAGAAAGGAGGCGGGCTTAGCAGCCGGAATGGGTGGGGTGGGCAGGGAAGGAGGGAGAGGGATGGGGTGAGCCACGTGCCTGCCAGTGCCCAGCTCCCAGCCAATGGACAGTGAGGACAGCCCCACCCATCCCCCTTAGGAGGGACAGGATCCACTTGGGCCCAGGAGGGTGCCTACCGCTGCCTAAGTGGCTGCAGTCACCATTGCTGCTGCTGCTGCTGCTGCTGTCCACCTGGCTGGTTTTTGTTTGTTCCCAAGTCTCGGGGCCATTTGCCACTTGTACCATTTGTAAAGTACAGGCAGGAGGATTAAAGGGAGCAGGGAGAGCTCCCAGGCAGCTTGGCTTCTGGGGAGAGAAGTGGTTTGCAGACTTCAGGTGGGAACAGGTGGGCCATCTAGGGTACCTAGATGTGGCTTACAAGCAGAGACAGACACGTGGGTGCTGCTCACCCAAGGTTTCTGTGCAGGAGCCCGAATGAAGTGGCAGGCAGGGAGGCAGACACAGACAATGCATTGTGTCCTAAAGAGGAAATTTGTTGCTCTTGACTCCCCTATTCACTTCCCCCCCAAATAAAAACCTTTCCTCATCAATGGCCAGGGCTGAGCAACTGCTGGAGTGGCAGAGAGGACACTGACAAAATGTCAGTGGGACTTGCCCTCAGGATCATCTGGGCTAGCTTTCAATATTACACATGTGGAACAGGCCTCCACAGGAAAGGAAGTGACTTGTCCAAAGTCATGTAGCGAGTAGTACGCTGGTTCCCTCATGGTGATTTGAGGGAGGGGGCAGACCTGTCCCAAGTAGTTTTCTTAACAGAGGCCATTTGTATAGTGGAATCTAAGCCCAGGCAAGGCCAAGGCCAGAACATTTGTTGAATCCCCACTGCGTATTAGGCATTGTGCCATATTTGCTCTCATTTAACCCTCACCACAACACTAGGAGTCAGGTGGAATTATCCTATATTACAGACGAGGAAGGCAGCTTGGAGAGTAAATCACTTGTTTAAGGTCATGGAGCTCACTGGTGGCAGAGAGAGGATTCAAACTCAAGCCTGGCTGACTCCAGAGCCCAGCTCTTTCCAGACCTCAGCACTGTCTCCACTTGCTCCAGACCCACAAAATGTCAGGGCTGAAAGGCTGAGCCACTGGGTCTTCTACTCCCACCCCCTCCTTGCATAGCCAAGGAAATGGAAGCACAGAGAGAAATGACTTTCCCAAGGTCGTTCAGCAAGATAGTAGCAGAGCGGGGATTTAAAGCAGGTTTCACCCCTTTGCAGGCCAGACCGGTGCCCCAACCCCTGCCCGCACCTCTGCCAGCCTTGGGAGGGCTGACTGCTCCACACCGGCCTCCTGTGGCTGGGCCTTGGAGGGAAAAGGATAAGGAGCAGGACAGAGGCCCTCTGGAGACAGGGGGCTCTCCTAGAATGGGAGGGAGGGGTGGCAGCAGCTGAGGGGAGGTGGGGGGTGGGACTGGAACTTGGCTTATTGGCAGTGGGGGAGGGGGCGGGGGCGATGCTTATCTGTGAGGGGCAGGAAGCACCCGCGCCAGCCAGTGACACCCCAGCAAAGGGTGGCTGCTCCTTGGCCCCAGGGGGGAGGGGAGGATGTGGGGGGAGGGATGCTGGGAGCTGTGTTTCCCGTTTGGCCTCCAGAAGCGGGGGATCTAGAAGGGGAGATGAACTTTTATAGCCAGGGGAAGGGCACAGGAGGAAGAGGATGATGCTTGGGAGCTGCCTTCTCTTGTTTGCATATGTTTTACAGTGTCCCAACTGCTTTGGAGAGAGATAACTTGATTTAAAGCACCTGGCTGTGCCTGGTCCCCAGCAGATCTTGGTCCAGTGTGAGTCTGAACTCTCTCACTGGCCTCTCCCAGGCTATGAGGAGGTTCCATTGCAAAGACCGTTACCTCACTTTTCAAATGACTGAGGCCAGCTGCCGATACCACCCCCAGTCCCTCAGTCAGTTCTTCATGAAGCCCGAGCCGAGCCAGGACCCAGGCATCCTATCTCCCAGTCCACCACTCCTTCCAAAGAGATGGGGAATGGGGCAGGTGACGCAGGTGGATCGCTACGAAAGGGCCAGAAAGGCAGGGCTCCTGCTGCCACAGAGGCAGAATAGAATAGTATAGTGGTTAGGAACAGGGACTGGGCCCTGTTCTGCACTTAACTTGGAAAGTCTCCTCACCTGTGTGAACCTCGGTTTCCTTGTCTGTGAAACAGATGATGATCACACTGCGGAGGGTTTTGGAAGATGAAATGGGTGTAAAGTACTCAGAAGAGTGACTGGCAGAGAGTCATCCCTCAATAAGTATTGGCTAAAGTTGGTCCTCTTTCCCCAGACCCCTATGGGCTGAGCGCTCTTAACCTCCCCTCTACTTGACTCTGCAGGAGAAGATGGGGAGCCCCGAGGATGACCTGATTGGGATTCCATTCCCGGACCACAGCAGTGAACTCCTGAGCTGCCTCAATGAGCAGCGCCAGCTGGGCCACCTATGTGACCTCACCATCCGGACCCAGGGCCTTGAATACCGCACCCACAGGGCTGTGTTAGCTGCCTGTAGCCACTACTTCAAGAAGCTGTTCACTGAGGGTGGTGGCGGAGCCGTCATGGGAGCCGGGGGCGGCGGGACAGCTGCTGGGGGAGCAGGGGCCGGCGTGTGTGAGCTAGACTTTGTAGGGCCAGAGGCACTAGGCGCCCTCCTTGAATTTGCCTATACAGCCACTCTGACCACCAGCAGCGCCAACATGCCAGCTGTTCTCCAGGCTGCCCGGCTGCTGGAGATCCCGTGTGTCATCGCTGCCTGCATGGAGATTCTGCAGGTTAGTGGGCTGGAAGCTCCCAGCCCGGACGAGGATGACTGTGAGAGAGCCCGCCAGTATCTGGAGGCCTTTGCCACAGCCACGGCCTCTGGAGTTCCCAATGGTGAAGACAGCCCTCCTCAGGTGCCCCTCCCACCACCTCCACCACCGCCACCTCGGCCTGTTGCCCGCCGCAGCCGCAAGCCCCGGAAAGCTTTCCTGCAAACCAAGGGGGCCAGAGCAAACCACCTAGTCCCCGAGGTGCCCGCAGTGCCTGCAGTGCCCGCCCATCCCTTGACCTATGAGGAGGAGGAGGTAGCAGGCAGAGTGGGCAGCAGTGGGGGCAGTGGGCTGGGGGACAGTTACAGCCCTCCCACAGGAACCGCCTCCCCTCCTGAGGGCTCCCAGAGCTACGAGGCCTATGAGGGTGAGGAAGAAGAAGAGGAGCTGGTATATCCCCCGGCCTATGGGCTGGCGCAGGGGGGCGGGCCCCCGCTGTCCCCAGAGGAGCTGGGCTCAGACGAGGATGCCATCGATCCTGACCTGATGGCCTACCTAAGCTCCCTGCACCAGGACAACCTGGCACCAGGCCTGGACAGCCAAGACAAGCTGGTGCGCAAACGCCGTTCCCAGATGCCTCAGGAGTGCCCTGTCTGCCACAAGATCATCCATGGGGCGGGTAAACTGCCTCGCCACATGAGGACCCACACAGGCGAGAAGCCCTTTGCCTGCGAGGTCTGCGGCGTTCGATTCACCCGGTGAGCAGCAAGTGGGGAAGGGCCCGGTAGGGGCCATGGGTTGGGGACAGGGTGGGAAATCCGAGGTGGAGGTAGGTGGTACTGGAGAGGCTGGGGCATGAGTGGGTGACTGGAGTGAGGAGAGCAGGAGAAAGCAAGCCAAGGGCAATGGGTGGGGAGGTGTCTAGAGCATGGAGGATTTGGTGCCCAGGAAGGCACTGTGGGAAGCAGAGGAGTGGATACTGGCAAGGCCCTGTTAAGCTACAGGCCAGCCAGCGGGGTGTCCTGGGGCAATAGCGAAGTTACACATAGTGAGGGACAGTGATGGGAGACAAGCCTGGGGTGGCATGACCAGGAGGAGCCAGGGATCCCACTCTGAACACCTCCTTGCCCCCCACCCCTGCCTGTGCCAGGAACGACAAGCTGAAGATCCATATGCGGAAGCACACGGGAGAGCGCCCCTACTCCTGCCCGCACTGCCCAGCCCGCTTCCTGCACAGCTACGACCTCAAGAACCACATGCACCTGCACACGGGGGACCGGCCCTATGAGTGCCACCTGTGCCACAAGGCTTTCGCCAAGGAGGACCACCTGCAGCGCCACCTCAAGGGCCAGAACTGCCTGGAAGTGCGCACCCGGCGGCGCCGCAAGGACGATGCACCACCCCACTACCCGCCACCCTCTACCGCCGCTGCGTCCCCCGCAGGCCTCGACCTCTCCAATGGCCACCTGGACACCTTCCGCCTCTCTCTAGCTCGATTCTGGGAGCAGTCAGCCCCCACTGGGCCCCCAGTCTCTACCCCGGGGCCCCCTGATGACGATGAGGAGGAGGGGGCACCCACCACACCGCAGGCTGAAGGTGCTATGGAGTCCTCTTAAAGAGGGACAAGTGGCCAGGCTGAAGTAGCACAAGGCCGGGGACACCCATGCCAAGCAGTGGGAGCACGCAGGACAGACAGAGCAAGGGGTCTGGGGCACGGAGCCTTGCTGGCATCAGCATCAGCCCTTCCTCCCAGAACCCTCATTCCAATTCCAAGCTGAGAAGGTATTGGGGCAGAGGCTCCCCAAATTGGGGTGATCCCCCAAGGAGTGATACATATATTGTGTATATATTTACAGCTCTATTGTAAAAGTGGGGTCCCTGTCCCCAGCTGCTCCTGGGGAGTAGAAGCAATAATGTATTTCTGATTTGTGGGTCCCACTTCGGCTATGCGGGTTTCTAGGGGGTGGGGGCTTGGGACCAAAGCGTTGCCCCGCCCCTATGCCCCTCGGGGGTTTTGGCTGTGTACGGGGGTGAAGGACTGCCCCTCCCTTCCAAGACCCCTCCTTCCTAGTTTCTGTTCCTTTTTCCTGGCAGTGAATTATGCAAAAGGGGGCGGCAAAGGAAGGGTAGGTGGGGGAAAGCCAGGTGGAAGCTTGAAAGACTGGGGGACTGGGCCTGTAAGGAAGGAGCCATCCCAGTCCCCCTCCGCCCTGCTCCCGGCGCTGAGTCATGGGGTCCTGGAGAAGAAGGGGGCGGGGTGGCCTGATTGGCTCGCCCGCCCCTGGGGGCAGTGGAGGGGGGGCCCCGCCCAGCTAGGGGAGCCGCTCGGTTCCACTCCCCTCCCTGTCCCTCCCTCCCCGTGGCCCTGGGCAGGGAATGTCTTGTTCCCGCCGCTCCCTCCCCGGGGCCAGAGGGCAGGGCGGGCCGGGCGGCGTCCTACCCTCTTCTCCTCCCCACCTCCTCCCGCCCAGGTGCGAGCCGGAGCCGCCGCCACCGCTGCCGCCCCTGACTCACGCCGCCCCCGGGCTGGCGCAGCGAGGGGTGTGGGACAGGGTGAGGGGTTGGAGGAGCCTTGCGGAGAGCGGGCGAGCCGGCGCCATCTGGCGGCCATGCCCTGGGCGGCGAGCGCCCCCCGCGGCCACTGGAGCGAGCTGTCTTCGCGCTCCTCACCCACCCCACCTGGTGAGCGGCGCCCCCTTGCCAAGGCAGTGGGCACGGAGCTTCTCGCTGGGCCGCAGGGAAAAGGGCTGCGGACCTGTGGGAAAGTGATCCCCTTCCCAGATCCTTGCCAGCCGGGCTTCCTGTCGGGCGGAGGAGAATAACCTCCTCACTCTTCTTTTAGGATTCAATCCACCCCCATTCTGTACATAGCCTCTTCTGTTGGTCTTGTTGAAATCTAGTTTCAGATTTTTTAACTACCCAATTCTGCTGGGGGTGGGGGACAACCCCCCTTCCTCGCTGGGTGCTGGACCCCTTTTGCAGCCTGGGCTCTGCCTTGCACTATTTCCCCTTCCTGGCCTGACGGCCCCTCCCCCTCCTTAAAAGGGGCAGGTTCAGGGGCCCGGTGCTCTTCCTCTCTTCCATGCACCCCTTTGCCCATTTGCACAGCTGCCCAGGTACCCCTAACAGTGGGGAGGGGTCACAGGGAGGGGGTAGCGGGACCAGTCCCTGTATCTATTTAAAAAGTGATGATGTAATATATTGGGGTGGTGGGGAGGTCGGGTTGTCCTGGGCCTCATCTTAGCATTTCAGGTGATGGGGGGAGCCCAGGGCTGGGGAGACCTGGGGCCCAGCCCCAGAGAGTGGGGACAATGTGGCCTCCCTTCTCCCTACTTGTGGCTTTCCCAGTCAGTGCCTTAGGGGGAGAGGCACTCCCCCCCTCCTATTTCCTTTCCCCCACCCCAACCCCCCACCTCGGGTGTAAGCGACAGGAAGAAATAATAATAATTTAAGATTCACACTTGTGTCCACTTTTGGTTTATTTGGGGGGTGGGTGGGAAAGATCTGGAAGAGAGGGAGGTGAGAGAGGGACTGAGGGTTCTGAAGCTGCAGTGGGGGCTGCATTGGGGGCAGAGGATGTCTCAGGTGGTCTGTGGGGCTCAGGGCTGGTGAGAATGCTGACAGGCTGATGGGCTTCAGGTAAGGGCTGCTGCCCATGCTTCCCCTGCTGAGGCCCCTTCTCCTCATCCAGGTCACTAGTAAGGAGAGGAAGGGGGTGGCCGGATCACCCACCTTCTGTCTTCACAGGTGCATCCCTGCCCCCTGCCCTGTCCCATCTGTTCAGATCCAGCTCCCGTTCTTTCCAAGCACCTCCTGCTCTCCCAGGCCCATGAGGCATACCAGCCCATGGCTGTAGATATTTTCTGATTTTAGGCTGATGGTGATCGGGGGGCAGTGACTTGCCTGAGGCCACGTTGCTAGGAAGGGCAGAACCACTAGTGACCTCAGTGGTCACACCTGCTCAAGGGTCAAACCACCCCCTCTGCTGACCCAGCTTAGCCCTTCACTGGGCCCTCTGGAACCTCTGAAAAGAAAGCTTTGCTTCCCCTTCAACCTCCCGACTCATCACGACCTCCACCACCCCATTCACACTGGAATGTGCCCACTGGACAGTTTTCTTTGCAGTCCTCCCAAGTGGAGGCAGCTTAACCTTCTCAAACCCAGCTGGCCTGTACTGTTTTTTGCAAAGCCCCTGGCTGCCACGACAGCTGTACCACCAGCGCTGTGGCTGTCTCCTCAGGCCTGCCAGACACCTGCCACGTTTAAGACGCCGGCTCTGGACCCCTGCTGTTTGTATGGTCCTGCAACCTCCTCCTTAGAGGATCCATCCAGTTTTCTGGCTTCGCAATCCCTAACCTGCTTGGTCCTATTGACCATCATCTCTGTTCCGACTCAGACGTCCTTCTCAGCCTTGGCCCCTCACTGGATTTATTCCAGAGTTCTTCCCTGGCCATGACCCTGTGTCTCAGCCCCTCCTGTTCAGCCAGCTCTCCCTCCTGGCCACTGTCCCTGCTCTAACACTTCATCAAGACAGAGACCCTGGGCTGCCCCCCGCAGGCCTCAGCCCCTCCTCTTCCCCAGTCGTCTCAGACACCCTTACCAAAGACACCTCAATGCTCACTCCATCTTGTCCTCCTGACCTGCCCAGAAAAAGCCCTGCACCCATGAATCCTATTCATGGCTACCACATTTGCCAGAGAAAATCACATAACCAAGTGCACTGGAGCAATCATTACAGGTTAACGCTTCCAGCATCATCTAGGCCTTTGATGCTACCTGGAAATCCCTTAACCTCCCCAGTCGGCTTCTTTGCACGTTTCCCACAGCAGGTCTTTCAAAAACCTCTACCACCCACTCCTTGAAACCTTTATTCCACTCCCAGCCGCCCCTTCTTGCTCGCTCAGCAGGTGCTCTTGCCTCCTACTCCCCAGAGAGAAGCGAGGCCATCAGGCTGGAGCGGGCTCAGCTGCTCAGGGGAACCTCTTCTCTCCACCCCTGCCTCTGCCAGCCTCTCCTTTCTAAGGCAGGCCACCTGGTCCACCTGGCCCTAGAGCCAAACCTCCCTCCCCAATGCTCTTTTACACTGCCTAAATGCTCAGATCTCCCTGTCCTTGTATCTAGACAACCCTCTCAGTGCTGAATCCCCTTCAAGCTACTCTCTCGCTCTGTGAAGCTCTCTTTCTCTTCACCATCAAGCTACATTTTTTCAAACTATAGCACTTATTAGATTAAAAGCATTATCAGACTCCTGGCAACAGTGATGCAGGAGCCACATACCATATTTCTGAGTCCATTTGAGTCTCACTCTGTCACCCAGGTTGAAGTGCAGTGGCATGATCTTGGCTCATTACAACCTCCACCTCCCAGGTTGAAGTGACTCTCCTGCTTCAACCTCCAAAGTAGCTGAGATTACGGTGCCCACCGCCACACCCAACTAATTTTTTGTATTTTTTTTTTTTAGAGGCGGGGCTTGGCCATCTTGGCCAGGTTGGTCTTGAACTCCTGACCTCGTGATCCACCCGCCTCGGCCTCTCAAAGTGCTGGGATTACAGGGGTGAGCCACTGTGCCCGGCTCTAATTTTTTGTATTTTTAATAGAGATGAGGTATCATCATGTTGGCCAGGCTGGTCTTGAACTCCTGACCTCAAGTGATCCACCTGCCTCAGCCTCCCAAAGTGCTAGGATTACAGGTGTGAGCCACTGTGCCCGACCTTTCTGAGTCCTTTTTACCAGTCACCACTCAACCCATCGAGTTTCAGTCTTCCTGATGCCATGATAAATATTCCCATAAGCCACTCCAGTGAATAACTAACTGCCTGTTGCCTGTCTTCACATGATCCCACTTGACTTTTTTTTAAATCTTTTTTTTTTTGAGACTGGGTCTTGTACTATTGCCCAGCCTAGAGTGCAGTGGCACAATCTTAGCTCACTACAGTCTCAGCCTCCATGGCTCATGGATCCCTCCCACCTTAGCCTCCTGAGTAGCTGGAACTAAAGACGCATGCTACTATGCCCAGCTAATTTTTGCATTATTACTTTTTTATTATTATTTTTTGAGATGGAGCCTCGCTCTGTCTCCCAGGTTAGAGTGCAGTGGCATAACCTTAACTCTCCACAGCCTCTGCCTCCCAGGTTCAAGCAATTCTTCTGCTTCAGCCTCCTGAGTAGCTGGGACCACAGGCGCGCGCCACCACGCCTGGCTAATTTTTGTGTTTTTACTTTTTTTTTTTTTTAAGACAAGGTTTCACCATGTTGGTCAGGCTGGTCTTGAACTCCCGACCTCAGGTGATCCGCCCGCCTTGGCCTCCAAAGTGCTTGGATTACAAGCGTGAGCCACCACACCCATCTTTTTATTTATATATATATATATATATATATATATATATATATGAAGAAAAAGACAAATATAAGCACATCACTTTCCAACTCAAGCTCTTCAAATGATAAGTAAATGTCTTGCCCATCTCTTCCCATCTTGACTTCCAACCTCGTCTCCCAGCATTCTCCGAGATCTCTATCCAGACACACCCATCCCTTGGGCTCTACCCTTCTGAATGCCTCACATTCTCCAAAGCCACACAGGCCTCCCCTTGAAATGCTTTCCTCTACTTCTCAGCCCAGCAAACCACGAAGTTGCCCCCAAAATCCAGCCCCTGGCCAGGCACCATGGCTCACTCCTATAATCCCGTAATCCCAGCACTTTGGAAGGCCAAGGCGAGAGGATGGTTTGAGCTCAGGAGTTTGAGACCAGCCTGGGCAACATAGTGAGACTCCCAGCTCTACCAAATAATAATGATAATAATAAGCCAAGCGTGATGGTGTGCCTGATGTCCCAGCTACTCAGGAAACTGAGGTGGGAGGATTGCTTGAACCCAGGAGGCCGAGGTTTCAGTGAACTGGGATTGCGCCACTGCATTCCAGCCTGGGTGACAGAGTGAGACCCTGTCCCAAAAAAACAAAACAAAAATCCAGCTCACTTATCACCTCTTCTATGAGGCCTTCATTAATACGCCCCTTTTCCCAAGTTGGTTGTTCTGTCCTCTGTGCTGCCCAGAGTACTCTTCATTCCTTTATCAGGGTGCTATCCACCCTGTTATCTATCTGATGTCACTCTCCCCAAGGGCATGGTGAGCTCCTCCAGGGCCACGGTGCTGACACAGAGCAGGGACTTGGCAAACCACAGTTACTTCCCCTCCCCTCATGTCCGTCTCCAGCCCTGGCAAGGTCCAGGCACCCAGGAAGGCTTTGTAAATGGAACAGAACATCCTTGGGCCTCACAAACCCCAGGTGCCAACTCCTGCTTCCTGCTCACCTGGACTCAGAAGTGGACTCCTTTGAGAGGCCCCTGCCGAGCACGTCCTGGGGCTGTCGCTGCAGTAACCACGCCTGCTCGGGGTCCTTCCTTTGAGCTGCAGCCAGCCATAGCCGAGGGCCCTCCTCATCGCTAGAATCCCTGGAGAAATCGCTCATCTCAGTGGCCCACAGATGTCCTGGCAGAGGGTGGCTACTCCCACCACCCCCATAGACTCCCGCCACCCCATGTCACTGAAAGACTCACAGCTCCAAGTCCAGGTCCCCTTGGTAGGAGAGGAGAGAGGCACATATGGAGCAGGTATTGTCCAGGAGGCGGAAGCAGGTGAGGCAGTACAGACCTGACAGATGCCAGAGGAATGGGGGTGAACCCGAGCTCACCCACCCAGCCTCTGTGCTTCCTGGTTGCTGGCTCCTGCCTCCCCATCACACCCCTGGAGGAACCATCCTTCTCAAGCGGTGCACACTAGGGAACTGCTGCAGTGCCATTTGCATATAAATCCCATTTATAAATACCCGAGAGAGGCCAGGCGAGGTGGCTCACACTGGTAATGCCAGCACTTTGGGAGGCTGAGGCAGGCGGATCATGAGGTCAGGAGATTGAGACCATCCTGGCCAACATGGTGAAACCCTGTCTCTACTAAATTACAAAAATTAGCTGGGCGTCGTGGTGGGTGCCTATAGTCCCAGCTATGGGGGAGGCTAGGCTGAGGCAGGGGAATCGCTTGAACCCCCACTCCAGGAGGCAAAGTTTGGCAGTGAGCCGAGATCGCGCCACTGCGCTCCAGACTGGGTGGCAGAGCGAGACTCTGTCTCAAAAAAAAAAATAAATACCCGGAAGAATAAAGGCAAGCATGGAGAAAATGAGCTACCTGAGGGCTCTGTGTAAATAAGAACTCACATAGTTATGAAGGGAGAGACACAAAAGGTGAGGCATAAGAGAATTCCATCAAGGAAGGACCACAGCTGATTGTCATATGCCAGCGGGGTAAGTCTGAGCAGGGAGAGGCACACGCCCCAGGGGCTCTCACCTTGGCAGCCTGGGGTACTGCAGGACACAACGTTCTCCATGTCTCCCTCACTCTGGGGCTTCCCACAGCCCAGGCAGTAGGCCTGAGGCAGCCAAAAGCGGCTGACGAATGGACGT